GCAGTAGCAGTAGCAGTACCAGCAGTCAGCAGTAGCAGCAGTAGTCTTAACAGCAATGTCAGCAGTCAACACCACTTTCATGATAATGGCGGCTCGTAGTGATGATTTGGACAGTGAGTTCGTACCGGAAGAAGCTTTCAGCGATTGATTCTTATGCCTCCGCACGGAACTGCAAGCAAAGAGAGCACTAGAAGTTCCTGTGAACGCAAAGGTCGCATGCACACACGGCAGCGAAACAAAAAGAGACTGTATCTAACCTAGCCGCCAACAAGTCTCAATCAACAGCGATGAGTTTGTATGAGTGCCTGTGCTTGGCAATCGAAAGCATTTTGTCAGCAGGAGGAGGGGAGGGCTACGGCGACAATGCTGATTATCAACATGTTGCTACTGGCAGCCAACACGAAGACCACGTGCCAGAATCGTGTCTAGTTTCGATTCGAGTGGAGAACCAACACTGCCGAACCATGCTACTGAGCTTCACGAGGTGAAGAGGGTCTCTAGCATGTTGTGGAGTCGCACCTTTTCATGGCTCCAAGCCGCTGTGAAGGTTCGATCTTATGGAGATAGAGCAGGAGATCATCGGGCTGTGCTCCAGAGGTGCCAGCACACTCTCAGGAAGTGGTTTTGGAATTTTCTGAATGGAATGTGCCGGGCCTTGTGGAAGTTACTGGTGTTTTGTCGGCTTGGAGGGCGATGTGACATCTGACATGGCTGCTCGGAAGGTGAAGGCAATCTCCGCTTTGAGCAGTTCGTGGCATGCGCAGTCTCCAGCGATTGAGGTATGAATTGACATGTGTCTCCTCTTCTCCTTTTGCCACTTTCCCTCTCTCTGCCTCATTCTCTCCAAACTTCTCCTGACTTCTGTGTCACATGTCTCTGTGACTGTACAGTTGCTAGCGGTCGGAACGCGAATCCTGGACTTGGGCCTTGGCTGGGTCTTTGAGATCTGCAGCAGTGAACAGGCAACATGCCGCTGCATCGCTAGTGCAAACAACATCAACAACACGAGCGTCAAGGGAGGCGCATGCACATCGACCAGCAGCCTTTCAAGGTCCCGCAGAAGAGCCGTCGAATTCGCTTTTGTGTCTCTCAAGCGGCCTTGAATCTGTACAGACCTGTACAGCTACCAGAGGCTGCAGCTGAGCATCTCCAGGATCGCAGCGCGCAGGTATGTGGCAATGTGGAAACTCAGATCCTGGAATTTGGTGGCACTATCGTTTCTTTACATGATCGAAGCCTGTGCTCGGGGCTGACCAAAGCGTCAACCTTTCATCCCATCACCGCCCTGCGGCAACTTGATGTAGATGTAGTGGAGTGCAATAAAGGAGCTCAGCTTCACTAGTCACTGGCTGCACTGTAATTTCTACTCTTGTTTGTCTTGTTTCTGACGGCATGTGACAGCAGCACAAGCTTAACATCTACAGTTCCACGAGAAAGGGGTGGAAGGGTTTAGCTGCGACATGTCCGGAGCCGGGCAAAGCGTCGAGGGAAAAGCACACACACATAAGCTTCTCAGTTCTGCCCTGCAGAGATGTGTTTGCCTTCCGCTTCTGCCGCAATGCCTGAGCTTTGAAGAATGGCTGCTTGGCCGAGGCCTCACGGCGGCCACCAAGAAAAGCCCAGCTCCCAGCGGCGGCCTGAGGAACCCCTTTGTTGATGCTGTTTTTGAGGATTTCTTGAAGAGGATCTTGGTGATGTTGGAGCTCCGAGGCATGAGCTACATGACGGGGACGACTGGATTGGGTTGTGATCTCGGTTGTTGTGACATCACTACTCTATCACCCGTGTGTGCACATTCCCGAGTCTGTGCCTCTTGCACTCGGTGGCGCAATCGAGGCACATTGTCTGGTCTCAGCATGGCTGGCAAGTGGCTCAGTTTCGAAGGGAGCCTTGCTTGGTGGCATGATTGGGAGCTATTCAACTCGGGTCTCCCGTTTGCAAGCGTTGCTCGCGAGGCTTTTCCACTCCATCTCCAGCGAAGACCAACCTGCTGAACACAACCACGTCGCTCTCGCCGCCCGCTGGCTATTCCCCTGGCCCCAAAGATCAGGACGAGGACCTTCTGGCATCTGGGGGCATAAGAGGGCTAATGACATCGCCGGCTTCAAGAGTAGATCCTTCCTTATCGGGTGTAAGATGAATGATCTGCTGGCAGCGAGAACTGCCTTCCGGCATGGTAGGATGAAGTGTGTGTGTGTGTGTGTGCGCGTGCGTGCGTGGGTCTGACATGCAGGAAGCATCGCTTCTCAAGCCAGTGGTCTACAAACCACAGATTCGACAGATTCCCAGACGTCACGGCTGCTATAGCATCTCATGCAGCACTACACCTTGCACCTGTGCAATCGAAGATTGTGGTACAAGTACAGCTGCAAAGAAGGCTGTGATGCCCCAGCTCCGTACAGTGTGTTTGCTTGCTTGTGGGATGCGCGCACGAAGTACAAACATGCACTGGAAGCCCTTGTGGCCCAAACCTTCGTCGTGGTGATCTTTAGATCGACGGAGCCCGGAGCCAGCATGATGTTCTCTCGGGCGCAGTGCTCAGTTCGGACTTACCTAACTTCATTCGCAAGAACAGGCAGCAGCAGTCGTAGTTCTGTCGGTCTCTTTCTTCGTACAAACCTGCTGCTTCGCGGCAGCCTACACTCTTGAAGCGGCACACCGCGCCAGGCCATTTTAGTCGCAGCCTTGGTGCAAGCAGTGGCCGCAGCGAAGGAGCGAAAGATTCATCTTCCTGCAGCAGCCACTGCTCCAAGAGACATAACTTTGCAGTCATCGCTGTGTTGTCCTTGTTGACTCAAAAGCGTGTCGGGCCAGGTGTGCATGGTGCCGGCTGTAGTACATGTAGTATCAAGCACAGATGCAGTCTGGTCGTCTGCTCAGTGAGTGAGGAGGCGCGAATGTCTGTGTCTGCGAACGGCGGTGTGACGCTCTTCCAGAAGCGCAGCTTGGAATGCAGCACCTACAGCAACATCCCTTACGCTGGAGTTACTGGAGTTGTCACTTTGCAAGGCGTGCTTCTGGACTCTAGCAGAAAGGATTCCCTGCAAACTTGTCAGGAAGCATTGGTGGAAAGGTAGACCCGGCTCTGCTACAAGGTGCTCTCAATGCCATGTGCTGTTGACCTGCAGTTTCAGCTGTGTGGTTTGCAGGTCAGTCCAAGCTTTCCCGAAGTGAAGCTGTACGACTGAGAGCCTCGGAGCAAAGTGCCAAGCATTCTCACGGCCTCAAGCTTTCCTGGTGCTTGGCGTCTCTTGTCAATCGAAAGTTCTTGCACTGTCTGTTTCCTGTCTAAAGCATCAGTCGGGTGCTGCAGCAAAGGAACCTACGACGGCAAGCATCTCCACTCGGATGGCAAGAAGGCGTCCTGCTCTGCAGGGTTCATAACCCATCATAGCCCTGCCAGCCCCCCCGCGGCAGACACGTGAGGGCTGATTGACGCATCGGCAGCATGTTTTGGTTGGCCGGTTGTGTCCTCTAGTAAGTAATGTATTGCTCGTCCAGAGCTCCTCTGTCCCTAGCAGCCCTAGCATCAACAAAGACCGGGACGAGATGGGAGGTTGTGAAAGGTGCTACGGTATTGGCTCATTTTACTCCTCGTCTAGTCATGCTACATGAGCTGTTCGTGCTGCAACTTCTATGTTCCACTACATGGCCCTCTCACACGATCGATTATGCACACACACACACAACTTGCAACAACTACCTCAACTCGGCACGGAAGAAATTTCAGATGAATGGGCGCTGCAAGCGAAGTCTTTGTAGTTCGGTAGTTCCGGCTCCCGCATTTCATTGTAGATACACGCAATTCTAGACATACGAAGTCGCTTTGTTTTGTGTCGCGGCTGACAGGTGACTGAGTCTGTCTTACGATCCACCCATATCAACCTCTTTCGGCTTGATATTGGGGGAGGGAGCATCTTCAATTAAGTCTGAGGCTGCTGTTAGGTCTATGCTTGCTAGATCCGTCCTGGGCCTCAAGGTGTCGTCTCCTCCTTCCCGCTTGAATCAAGAAGCCTTGGAATGAGTTCGGCCTTTCAGGTTTGGGTGAGCACGGAGAACGCCGCGAAGACAGAAGTCCTTCTGCGATCGGTGGGATCTGCAGGTGCACTCAACACCTTGAACCCTGGCCACCAGACAGTTTTGGGACGCGAAGTTTCGGAGGGCCTAGGACCTAGGCCACTCCAAGGTTAATTGATATGCTTCTCCTAAGGCAGAGCGGAGATGCAGTCCTCCTGGAGACTCGAGAAGGTCCTTCGATGCTTGGGAGTCCCTGTCGGTCACAAGCTTAGCTGTGTCTCTTGAAGGCAATCGCCTGGAGATTCTGGGTGGAACTGTCAATGTGCGCCCGAAGAATTACAGACAGGACCGCGCAAGTCTTAGTACAGTATTCCTTCTACACGGCAGAGTCGTAGAGAATACATAGTGAGAACATATCATATTGGATAACTCAGATAAGCGCAACTCATTCCTGGAGACGCGTTCACAGATGCAGCAAGAACTGCATGTTTCAGGACTCGCAGACGTTCCTGGTGCAGAGGCACGTGTTGATCTTCAAGGCGACGAGAGTTGGCGGAGCAGTATATGTATCCTGGGCTCAGGCAAGGTGGCGATGGGGATCTGGAGGACTGAACTACTTCTGTGATTTCCATGAACTCCTTCGGACTTGCTTTCACGGTCGGGGCAAGCATGGGTATGAAAGTAGGGTGCAAGACGCCGTGCGGGAGCCGCGAACATCGCATAGACAATGCTAAAGACCATGTGTCATGCAAACCACCAATGACATGAAGATACATGAAGCATCATGATCGACCAAGGGGCTGATGTGTGGCATGCGAGTTCGCAAGTGTTGTGGGAGCGCACAGCGGTCTCGCGTTCCAGTCGTCTGGCGACGTGATCGAAGGGCTGTGTTCCCAGGGGCCTCGATGTCTAAGACTCATTTGCAGGAGAGCCAACCTTTAAGACTAGGTCCCAGTGCATGACCCTGAATCCTTTGTGGTTTGAGGATGGAGATCCAAGCTTTCTTGTCTCGGGCACGGGCCATGTCCTGGCCGTGGAGGGCGGCAAGGTGTTGGCGAGGCTGGCTTGAGCATGAGTATCCGTGAAGCACTGGTGTTGGTGATAATACGTTTCGTCAGCCTTGAAGTTGTGCAGATGCATAATGGTGTTGACAGCATGGCAGCAGCAGCTGTAGCCGTAGCCAGCGGCAGCAGCGGCAGAAGCATGTAGCAGCAACATTGGTAGTGGCTGCTCTTGAGCTGATTATCGTTGTGCTTGCTGTTGCTGCTGCTTCATGGGCTTTCATGTCCTTCCGTCCCCGCAAATTTGAGCTGCTTGCATATTTCAAGCTGGGCTCCTCACCAAAGGTGTCCAAGCCATTCATAGCCATTCTCGAAGTCGTTAGAGGTCTGTTTTGGCCTAGTTTGGGTATGTTTGGGTACGGGGGCCTGGCCACAGACTTCATGGAGCGTTGGAGCTTGGGTTCAGATCGTGTCAAGGAATTGGAAGGGCTTCATTGAGACGTCGCAGGGAGGCATGCTAATGACAATGCCCTGACGGCCTTTGCACGGTTTTGATGTGATGCCTGTATCCTAGCGTATCGAACTTTCGAGCTGCCGGATTTTCAGTAGCTTTGTGGATGGCAATTAGTGAAATGCAGCAAGCATTGGCAACCGGGCTTCTCACACAGCTGGGTCGATGCAACGACTGTGCAACGACTGCCATGTGGCTTCGGACGAAATGCAGGAAGCCAGATATGGACACTGGGGAGGCGTTCCTTTTGGAGCATCTGGGTCCAAAAGAACTTCCGAAAAGCTTTCGTCACGCCAAGATTCCAATAGCGCTGTCTCCCTGAGCAGGGTTGGAGTAGTCGCTAGTCGTGGTTCTTTTCGCTTCTTGGGCTGCCTATCGGTTTGTTTACGAGGTTGTCCGACGGTTGGTGCCAGGGTAAACGTTTTGTCATGGGGCTGCAAGTAAGGAGAGCTGCTTCCCACAAACCGGAGCCGTGACCTCAGCCTCTGCGCCTAGGAATTAAGCAAAGCGCGGCAACCCCTTGTGCGAAAAAACTCGGGACAAGCAGCGCGCTGAAAGTAGCTTGTTGTGACAATCACTCAAAACGCTCAGCACTTGCAGCTGAATCTGAGCCTGGACTTTGCAGGCTTGCAGATGTCGCATGTTCTAGTACGGAGCTGTTGCCAGTGAGAGCACGTGCGATTCGATGAAAGTCATCCGGCACGCTTGCTGAGGAGCCAGTGGCTGGTGGTGCCCAATCCGCAGGGCCATTGTGACCCCACGCTGCAATGCCATCGGAAGCTGAACGTTTCCTGCAGAACCCTGCTGGCGATTGCTGTGGGGCATAAGTGCATGTGCCGGCCACGGAACGCTTTGGTGACTCCCGGTGATACCCTACCCATGACCAACTGCGTTTTGCATAAAAGTCGGCCCTCGAGACAAACCGGCTGCCACCAATCTAGGACGCCTCGGACATTCCTGTTCATGAGGTCTGTGAGCTTGTGACATGCTGAGGAAGCGCGGATGGAGCGGACCTGTCCTTTCATAAATGCCTTCGGCCTGCAATATGCATGGATTGGTCCTTCCACGCCAGCCCTGCCTTACCCTTTACGCTCTGAACACGCTACCCACTGCCTGTTTAATGTCCTGTCCATGCAGACCGTCACTTCGCGAGTGCTTGAAGCCTCAGCAAGTCAAGTTCAGAAGCTCGTCTCGGAAAGGCGACCACCACTCGCGCCCCTGGAGCTACGAGCCCTGCTTCCGCTCGCCATTGGGCTCCTGCATCGATTTGGCGGAGTCAGTGCCTGGGTCTTGTTCTTTATCATGCATTCCAGGCTTTAAAGCTGCCTTCCGGTGAAGCCTGCCAATCCAGATAAGTACAACAGTCGAGAAGTCGAGGCAGTGGAGGCTTTTGCCGATCTGGAGGCTGTTGGGCCTCTGCTTTTGTTCAAAATCTGGCTGAGGACTGTGTTGACATCCCTGGGATGTGGTGGAACACAGACTCGAGTCTGCAATCATGACTAAGAATTGGGCATGGGCCTGCCGGGTTTCAGAGGCGTCCTTTCATCGGCAGTCGGGGCGTGGTTTCCTGAGGAGGGCAAAACCTGCGCCCAGTACGGCGTGGAGGATTGTGACAACGAGCTGGTGCATCGAGCGTGCCGGCAGACATGCGCCTTGCCGGAAGAAGCTTCTGAGCTCACGCGATTGGTTCGCATCCTGAATACTGAGCGCTCCTGACCCCGACTGAAATCAAATTGATGTGTAGGTGCTATGCATGGCGTGCTGTCTACCTGCTACTGGATGGTATCGTTGTCTCATTGTCACTGGCTCTGTCTGTCTGTCTGTCTCCCTTGCTGCAGGCCCTTGGTTTGTACATGAATCAAAGCCCGTGCAGAGTCCAACGCCACGGCACTGAGTCGCCCTTGCATCCGGAAGCTAGCGTTGTGCCACCTAGGTGGCGGCGGATGCCAGCCAGCAAAGACCCTCACGTCCGTAGCTGATTCTTGGATTAACAGATAGAGTGTAGTTCATGGTGCTGGACAGGGAGCGGTTGAGTGTGCAGTCAGTCCTGCAACAACTACGACTACCACCGCCCGATGGTCCCTGCGGCGCTGCCACTGTTGCCACTACTATAACTGCCTACTCCTGCTTCTATCCCTGCTCCTACTCCCACTACTCCCACTCGAACTCCTACTACTCCTACTCCTAACTCCTCTGCTGCTGCTGCTGCTGC